AAAAGTTAACTTAATGTAAAAGTGTTCATTGTACCTAGGCCTGGACGATAAAACGGTATCGATATGATTTAATGCAAACGTGCAGTGTTGGGGTGCCACCAGGATCAGGGTTGGGAACCACTGATCTAGACCACGAGATGCGCCACTGCTGCGTTATTCATTCAATAAAGACCTATTTCATCTGCATATAAAACATTAGAAATTAGATATTTGTTTAATTTTTATTGTGTTTGATTGTTCAAACAAAAAATATTTGTTGTTTGTCTCAATAAATTGTTAATTATAAACACAGTGGTTAAATTGAAAAAAAAAATTCTATTGCTTTTTGTTTTAAAAAAGGTTATAAAAATGTCAATAATTATCGATACCAAACGATATGAAACATTATATCGTTGATACATTTTTTTTGCTATATCGCCCAGCCCTTCCTATACAGGTGCATCTCAATAAATTAGAATGTCGTGGAAAAGTTCATTTATTTCAGTAATTCAACTCAAATTGTGAAACTCGTGTGTTAAATAAATTCAGTGCACACAGACTGAAGTAGTTTAAGTCTTTGGTTCTTTTAATTGTGATGATTTTGGCTCACATTTAACAAAAACCCACCAATTCACTATCTCAACAAATTAGAATATGGTGACATGCCAATCAGCTAATCAACTCAAAACACCTGCAAAGGTTTCCTGAGCCTTCAAAATGGTCTCGCAGGGAAGACTGCTGATCTGACAGTTGTCCAGAAGACCATAACAGATCCTCAGATTCCAGATTTTCAAATAGTTGTATCTCAACCAAATATTGTCCTATCCTAGCAAACCATACATCAATGGAAAGCTTATTTATTCAGCATATTCAGTATAAAAAGAAAAGAAAAAAAGACCCTTATGACTGGTTTTGTGGTCAAGGGTCACAAATAGGTTCAACAAAAATAAAGACCAAAAAACAAAAAAAAAGGTATTAAAAAGATCACTCAAGTAAATTATTTGCAAATAGAGCACATTTCAGTGGACTTGATTAAACTGATATCTATTTATTACCAGAGGTGGACAGTAGTGAAGCATTTTTACTTTACTCAAGTAAATTCAAAAAGTATCTGTACTTTATCAGTGTTTTTCTTTGGAAAACTTCTACTTCACTACATTCCGATGTCTTACTTTTTACAGCCCTACATTTCATAAATAGAAGTTTTTTGTTGTTTTTTTTACCTTTAATACTTAAGAACATTTAAAATGTGGTACTTTCTTGTACTCAAGCAAAACGTTGAATTACTTTTACTTGAGTAAAAGTAAGAAAGTACTAGATTTCTAATGCAATTAAGCATTAAATGATATTTAATATGAAACGCAGTGCAGTGGAAAGTACAATATTATGCTTTGGACTGTTGTGAAGTCAAGTTTTCTAAAGAAAAACACTCTGATAAAGTACAGACACCTGAAAAGTACTTTTACAGCAGAGTAAAAATAGCTACTTCACTACTGTCCGCCTCTGTATATTACAAACATAAGCCTAAACATAATGGTTATTCATTAACAACAACAGAATCGTTTAAGTAAGGCTTATAGTTAGTATATTTGCATTTGGGAGTTAGGAAAGGTCGAAAAACAAAAGCCAGAGAGAAAATTATAGCATTAGCTTTTAATATTTTTAAAGAAAATCTGAAGAGTTTCATTAGTTTCAAAAATCATGTTTCTATTGTGCATTCCAGTTAATCTCAATCAAGCTGCAGTTGGGTTATTTTGATTAGGTAAAAAAAACTAGCTAACTAACACAATAAAAACACGATTTAAACCGGAAGCGTTCGTCTCCCCGATGTACGTCACGAGCGGTCCTGCTATAAAAGCGGCTCCGGCGGCGGCTCGTCGTTTCCTCTTCTGTGAGCGAGCGGTAGCGCAGGGTCAGTGCTTCACACGAGCGGGGGTTGTTTTTAGTTAACGGCAGTGTTTAGCTTTAACGAAGTCCAGACGATGGCAGACAAGATGGATATGTCCTTAGACGACATCATCAAGCAAAGCCGGCAGCGCGGGGGCGGCGGGCGCGGCAGCGGGAGAGGAGGCCGCGGTGGCCGCGGAGGCGCAGGCGGAGGCCGCGGTACTGGCGCCAGCGGGCGCCTCGGAAACACAGGAGGAGGCTTTGGAGGCCGCGGCGGCGGATCGGGCCCCATGAGGAACCGCCAGAACCTGAGCCGCGGAAGAAGCAGACCGACGCCGTACAGCAGGGTAGGAGAAAGCGGAGAAAATCACGGGCGCATCCACACGCCTGGGTGAAGCCCCGTTTTTATCTTTCTAGGCTGCCAGCAAACATGGCGGCTAGCTGGCCCCTGGAGCTTCTCTGGGCGCGTAGCTCGTTAGATATATATTGTGCATAATGTGTTCTCTCCCTAAGCCCTTTGTCTTGCCATCCGTGTGAGCTTCAAGCGTCTGGAGCGGCTCGTGGAGCTCCTATCCTGCGGCCGTCGACGCCATTTTGGAGACGGCTGGTCCCTTTCATTCAGCCGAAGCTCTCTTTGTTTTCGACGACATCCAGCGCACATCCTCACACGGTCTGCGTCTTGTGGTTTTTGTTTGTTTTTTGAAGAGTGCTCTTTTTTTGTGTGTGCGCTAAAGCCCAGCTGTAAGAGGGCCTTCGTTCTTCGCTGGAGTTCGGCTTTTGTTTGGGAGGGGCTTCGTGGTCTCAATGTCCTTGAAAGCAGAAATATAGCTATAGTGTTGGAGCCGCACAGGATAAATGGACTTTGACCATCTCTATCCAGCTGTTATGAAGAGTGCCCTTGATTATTTTTAGCTTGAGGTTAGTGCCTCACTGGCCTCCAGTGTTTATGTAAGCGCGTCAAAATGGACGCTCCGGAGCGGCTTCAGATGCCGAGCATGGACTTTTTTTTTTTTTTTGATGGCCTCGTTTTAACCACCTATTTTGGACTTGGCCGTGCTCCTTCTCACCGGAGACCAGTGGAGCATCCCTATCCACCTTTCTGGAGGCCTGCTGGGATTCATTTGGAGTGAACGGCAAGAGACTCTTGGGTTTCTGGTAGCTAGTTAGCTTGCTACCAAAGAGGGTGGGCAGTTTCTAAGGGAATCTAATGGGGTTTACTACAGTAGGCTACATGGAGTTCACTTGATGTTTACCCTACTCTTGTAACTGGTTATTTTGGCGTTATACGTGTAATGCATGTATAGTCTTTTGAATTAACCCTCTGGTTTTTGTTTACTTTAATTTTTGGCAGTCAAAACCTATAGGATATTTTGTGGGGTTTTTTTAATAGCGTTTCATACACTATTCATTTCTAAATTGGCAACCATTCATATATATATATATATATATATATGTATGTATGTATGTGTGTAAAAACTATAAAATGGTGCCAAGGTATTTGGAATCTATTAAAAAAAAAAAAAAAAAAACCGTAAGGTTGTGTATTTGATGGTTGCTTTGTGTTTTAGACATTTATCAAAGACTAGTTCATCTGTGTTGAATATCCCTCAGATTTGCATTTTCTGGTTCCAGTTAATTTCCTGTACAAGTCACTTTTACCATGAAGATCGTGTGACTTAAAACCGTTTAGCTTATGTCCACATTTTCATCTGTGTAGCAAGTGCCACAAGTCACCAAGTTTTGTACCATTCCGATGAAGTACAATTGTTAATCTAAATGTAAACTCCTAAAATGACCAACCACCAGAGGGTTAAGCTGGCTTCCACTGAGGTCTAGTGATTTGCACATCCAGTAAAGTTAGAACAGCATAATCGAGCCAACTCTGTACATGTGCTACCAGCTGTGTCCTGCATTGGTTGGGCAGTGATGGGGTGGGCAGGGATTGCTGGAAATCGCAGTGAGTGCACTGGGTGCCCCTGGCCTTGAAGCGGAGCCCCCTGCTTACCCCAACACCCAGCCGAGTGGACTGTCAGTGACAGACTGGGGGCCCGAAGTCAGCAGGTGCGTTCTCTCTCATCTGTTGCAGCCCAAGCAGCTCCCAGACAAGTGGCAGCATGACCTGTTCGACAACGGCTACAGTGTGAACGCTGGCGGCGGTGGAGGCGGCGGCGGTGGTGGAGCAGGCGTGGAAACCGGCGGAAAGCTCCTCGTGTCCAATCTCGACTTTGGCGTCTCCGATGCAGACATTCAGGTTGGCACCACTGACTTCTGCGTTGAGTCTTTAAAGGGATAGTTCACCCAAAAATGAAAATTCTGTCCAATTACACTCCCTCATGTCGTTCCAAACCTGTAAGACCTTCGCTCCTCTTCAGAACCCAAATTAAGATATTTAAATCCGAGAGCTTTCTGACCCTCCGTAGACCGCAATGTAACTGTAATGTTCCCAGACCCAGAAATGTAGTAAGGACATTGAAGAAACCGTCCATGTGACATCAGTGGCTCAACTTCAAGTTTGCGAAGCTACAATACTTTGTGCACAAAGAAAACAAATAACGACTTTATTCAACTTTTCCCTGAGATTTATTCCGCCATTTTGGGAAGTACCATGATGCATGCGCACTTTCCCCAGAATGTAATCCATGTTTACGTTCATGAGAAAGCGTACATGCTGAACGTACACGACGCTGATTACGTTCTGGGGAAAGTGCGCATTGTTAAATTACATTATTTTTCTTTTAAAGTATTCTCGTAGCTTTGCTAAAGTTGAGCCACTGATGTCACATGGACCGTTTTACCGATGTACTTGCCATGTTTCTGGGTCTGGGAACATTACGTTGTGTTGCTGTCTATAGGAGGGTCAGAAAGCTCCATCAAAAATATCTTCGTGTTCCGAAGATGAACGAAGGTCTTACGGGTTTGGAATGAAGTGAGGGGGAGTAATATATGACCATTTATTTGTGGGTGTACAATCCCTTTAAGTGTTTGGATTCTGTAGCTAAGGTATGGTTTGTGCTGCAGGAACTCTTCGCCGAATTTGGCACTTTGAAGAAAGCAGCAGTACATTACGATCGGTCAGGACGCAGCCTCGGCACTGCGGATGTTCACTTTGAGAGGAAAGCAGACGCCCTGAAAGC